GTAAGCAGTATACTATGGAAGGCCATTTGCACCACTGAATAAAATTAAAAAAACGATAATTGCGACTTTATCTTACAATTCTGACATTTTTCTTGCAATTGCGAGTTTACCTATCGCAATTCTGACTTTTTTGATCAGAATTGTGAGATATAAATTTGCAGTTGGGAGTTATAAATAGGGCTGTGCAAATTTTTTTTTAGATATTTATTTCCGCAAACATTGAACATAAGATTTACGTTAATCTTATTACTAGTCTAAGCCACTAGATGTCACCCCCTTATTTGCCCTGCGCGATGTTACAACGGAGAGTCCGTCATTCATTCATTGCTTAAAATGGCGGATCCAGGGCTCTACAGTGCGGCCATTTCAGTTGCATTTGTGATTGAAAACTACTGCGTGCGACTATGAAAATGTTTTTAGGAGCACCAGTGCGACTGACCTGATCATCATCATACTTGTGATTGCGCTCAGGGGAGCTTCAAATGTTTCTACGGGTTTTTACAGCATTGAGTAATGCATCACAGACATATCTCACGAATCTTTTCATAAGCAAAGTGAGAGATTCATTGTGCAGTGTAGAGAGCTTCGTTGATTATAAATTGTGAGATCGAGATGAACTAAGATGAGTGCCAGCTTTTAATAATTTTTAAAGGAGTTTGTAAATGTGATACTGATTTAATACAATACAATTCAATAAACAAGAATTAATATTAAGTGACTTACATTGTCTGCCTATAACACTATTGTCTGATTTTGCTCTATTTCGTCATCGAAAATAGTTTAAAACAAAGACACAGCGGAGCCGTTGTGCTCCATTCAAACACAGTGGTGTTTCGTTTATGAATGAACTGTTTTTTTAAATGAATCTAGTGATTCATGATTACCCATTCATAAAGACAGTCACTTGCTTCATTCCTGAATGATTCAGCCATTTGAATGAATCAATTGAATGAATGATTCAGTGATAAAAAATCAGTGACTTACCGCCACCTGCTGGCAGTTTGTTTCATTTTAAAAGTATCTTTTCAGTTATTTAAATCATTTAATATTTCTATATTCAAAATTTTATATTTAAAACATTAATATCATCATGAATTTATGGATTTAATTGCACTCATTCCACTTCTGAGCCTCATTAAATGTCTGAAAGTACACCAAGCCACTTTTGTGTTCTTCTGTGCCACCTCTGCAAATTCATTTTGTTAATACTGATTTCATTTGATTGGTAACTTATATTTCTTATTCTACTTGTTCTTATTCTGTCGTTTAATTAACATTTTTAAAAAGCTTATAAAATATAATTTTTTAAAGAATTTGATGAAAGATGACATACTTTTAATAAAGTTTTTTTATTAAGTTTTAATAAAGCCTTCACATAAAATGTCAGAGGTATGGAAGCATTTTAGATTTCGCAAGCACGATGACAAAGATACTGTGGACAAGAACAAAGCTATATGCCAAACAGTTGATGGGCCCTATTGACTTGACTTCCATAGTATGGAGAAAAATAAATGGAAGTCAATGGGGACCAAAACAGTTTGGTTATCCATATTCTTCAAAATATCTTCTCTTGTGTTCAACAGAAGAAAAGAAATTCATACATGCATAAATGATGACAGAATTTTTATTTTTGGGTGAACTATCACCCAAAAGCCAGAATTAGTTTTCCTACACCGTTCATAGGCTTGCAGCCTCCATGTTACAGCTAATGCTGTGAGATTTTATGTTTGTTTTGTCTTAAACATAAAATAACCTGATCCTGTTTGATCAAGGCATGCGACTGTTCTGACTTGTCCAATTTTCAGCATCAGTTTTTCAAAATTTCAGCATCAAAATTCTGTCTATTCATTGTATGCATTTGAAATATATAGTGGGGTTTTGTTTTATTGTACCCAAGTGTACCTAAAATAAAAAGTGTTTAATATACAGGTTTGTGGCTCTTAATTTCCTATTAATTAACCATTTGTAATCTTATGTTCACTGTTCATTTTTTTATAAATATAGGATTTATATTAAATCTATATTCATTCATATAGTCAAATCGAATCGAGAATTGAAATCAAAAATCGAATCGAATAGAAAATCGAAATCTAATCGAATTGAGAGCTTGAAAATCGAAATCGAATCGAATTGGAACATCTGAATCGATACCCAGCCCTAGTTATAAAGTGAGAATTGCGAGATATAAACGTGCAATTCTGACTTTTTTCTCAGAATTGTGTGATATGAATTTGCAGTTGCAAGTTATAAAGTCAGTATCGTAATTGCGAGAAAAAACTCAGAATCGTAAGATTTACTCACAATTCTGACTTTCTCAGAATTTATATTCATATTGCTTTTTCAGAGTTTATATCTCGCAATTCTGAGAAATAAAGTCAGAATTGTGAACATCAGTATTTTTATATCTTGGAATTCTGACTTTGTAACTCGCAATTGTGAATTTATTATCTCACAATTCAGAGTCAGAATTGCGAGTTTGTATTAGGACAGTTCTGAGAAAAAAAGTCAGAATTGCGAGATAAAAACTGGCAATAACCATTTTTTATTTTTTATTCAGTGGCAGAAACGGGCTTCCATAGTATGCTGTTTGCGAACATACCGACAAACATAACATAATACCGATCTCTCAATAACTAAATATCATCTGGTCATAGTGATATGGATATGTTTGCACAAGCTCTGTAATTCAGCATTCCAGTCAAGTCACGTTTATTTATGTAACTTATTATAGATTGCTTTAAAGCAAGCAGTTTTACTGCATTAAATATGAAAAACTGTGCCAGTGTTGCTTTCCGTTAGAATTACAACTTCAATACTTTACAATAAAGCAGCTCTCCATTGTGTACAAGTTTTGACTTGCGTCTGACTGTGATGTGGAAATGTTCTCTGGTTGATTTCTTCTGTTCAGTCTGTCAAAGAAGGCAGAACCCCAGAGCACACCCTACGTATTGTTTTAATATAAAAAATCTTCATTGACCAATGGTAGTTTGAAGGCGTTAACAATCTTTTCTGGAAACTTTGCTTTGGCAAGCTGTTTCGAAATCCAAACAAACTTTCTTTGGACCTGATTTTGTTTTGCAATGACATCACACCAGATCATTCTTCTATTTAGCTTGAAGTATATAGGGGCCTTAAAAGCTCCTCCATGTGACTTACATTGGCACTGCACAATGCATTGAACTCTATGGAGACCATTTCAACTTTGATCCTCTTTGTCAATAAACATCAACCATTGGATGGTGCATTGAAGCATGTATCACATGAAAGAGTGTAAATCATGGAATTAAATATCTTCTATTAAAAAAAAAACTCTATGCATTTACTCTTAACTGTTAAGCTCAAGGTTTGATGATTTGTCTCCAGGTACGGCCGCTCGACCAGAGGGAACATCTGCAGCCTCAGAAACACACACTCAGGCACAGGAGCCCACTGAGGTCTCAATTGAAGGTGCGATGGAGGTGGAGACACCCTCTTCTGATCCTCCACCTACACCTGCTGCTCCTCCTGCACCTACAGAGCCTCTCCCCAAGTCTATCTCCTCCTCCTCGGGCTCCTCCTCCACTGTGACAGCTCCTGCCCCCTCCAGCTCGTCCTCCATGGAGAGCGCTGCTTCCTCCTCTCTCCTCTCATCTCCAGATACAGAGCAGAAGAGCCAGGATGAAGTTACGCCCACTCCCTCGGCCACACCCACTCCTTCAGCCACACCCACCCCATCTAGAGAGGCAGCTTTATCTGGTAAGTCTGTCACAATTGGCAAAACACTGAAGAGTGCATTCATCTTTAATATGAGACAATGGCCATGTTTACATGCACATAATGTTCCATTTAAAGTTCATATATTATGTTTAATCTATTTTAAAAATAGATATTTACATGCTTTACAGCGATTATAAAAAGGGTTTTTGTCCACATGTACTACTGTTCAAAAGTTTGAGGTCAGGAAGATTTTGTTTAAAAGAAATTAATACTTTTATTCAGCAAGGATGCAATCAGTTGATTAAAACTGACAGTGAAGATATTTATAATGTTACAGAGGTTTATTTGTAAAATAAATACCTTTCTTTTGAACGTTCTGTGCATCAAAGAATCTTGAAAAATATGCATCTCAGTTTCCAGAAGAATATTATGCTTCAATTTTGCCATCATAGGAATAAATTACATTTTAAAATATATTTAAATATAACACAATTATTTAATTTTAAGTATTATTTTACAAAATAATTTTTTGTAAAATCCAAAGTAGTGGCTTAATTCAGATCATGTGATCATATTCCAGTAGTAATCAGAATTGTCTTGTGCATGTAAATGCAGTCATTGTATCTCTGCTCCATAAAGACGATGTGCTTATAATAAACTTTCAAATTCCATTTTTTATAATTGGTCCATTTATCATGTCTGCTTGCTTTACATCTCCCAACCATCCAACTCTATGTATTTTCTTTTTTTAAGACCTATGTGTTTACTGATTTGTTGTCTCTAGGTGGGGTTTATTTTTTGAACATTGTGTTCTGTTAGGGCCTGCATCAACAATCACATAAACAGAAGCAGGATGTTACATGTAGTGTCTTTTGTCTTCTTTTTTTATTGAATGATAAATCCCTCCTTTTGGCTCATCATGCCATTGCAGACATTTTTATGTGTGCGTTTCTGTTCCTGCCCCTAGAACATGTGTGGACGTGTGAGTGTAATGCACGCTTTTTAAAAAATTTTTATAACGGGTGATGAAACCCTGCAGTCTTGTCTGACATCACTCAGCCTACAGCTTCAATCTTTAATTTGCTATTTTATCCAGCATTCCTCCTTATCTATGATTTGCCTCTCTTCTTTTCCCCAATCCCATCAATTTTCCCATCCTGCTCTTCTCTCTCCCTCTGACCCCGCACTGTCAGAATATGGTCCTCGCAGGCTGCCGGTAAGTTTAGTGTGTAGACGTTTGCAGAGGCTGCTTCTCTTGTCTGACCCCCCAGGACAGGGCAGACGCCTAGTTCCTTCTGTACCCGCGACCTCCAGCACAGAGAGCTCAGCCCAACAGGCTGCTGCTGCTGACACAGGCCCCCCTGCAGGTTACCATCTCTTCCCAGCCTGCATTCCCGCTCTCCTTTAACCTCCTGACCCCTCTGGCTGCCTGTTTCATGGCTGTCCTGGTTTGCTGCTGCACCTCTGGCTATGGAGTGTGTTCCTCTTCCCCTCTTCCATACAGATGCACACACATCTAACTGCTGGTCATTCACGCTCACATTCACCAACAGCAGAGCTCTGCTCCAAAACCTAGTGAGCTGCCCACCTAGGTGACATTTTTAGACATCACCGATACACACCTGACTCAAAAGCTGCCCAAAGTCATGCCATGTAATGTACTTTGCCTTGGCCAAAATATTAGACAGTATTACACATATATTATTATGAAATATTATCGCTATTTAACATAGCTTTTTTCCATTTTAATGTATTAAAATGTAATTTATTCCTGTACTGAATTTTCAGCAGCCATTACTCTAGTCTTCAGTGTCACATGATACTTTAGAAATCATTCTAATATGCAGATTTGGGTCAAGAAACATTATTATTATCAGCGTTGAAAACAGTTGTGGTGTTTCAACAGTAATATTTTAGCACTGACTATTTGGATAAATTGACTTTATGGACAAGCGTCCACTTCAAATGCACCTTGATTTAGGACAGGGCTTTAGAAGGTAGCTGCCTGTGTAGTCAGTAGTAAGTGAGGCAGCTTACTAGATCTTGGAACAGAGCTCAGATGTCAAACATATGCATATACTGCCATCTGTTGATTGATTCACCTGAAATGCAATCGCATGATTACATATAAAGTTGGTTTGTACTGTTTGATGTTGGCAGTTTTTTAGTCTCCAGTTTAAACCTTGAATATTGATCCACGTTTATCTTGTTCTTTTCATACCTTCTCTTGTTGCACTTCCCTTTGCAATATTCCGCAAAATACTTCTTAGTGCTATCAGCGAGTGTGATCTGTTCACTTATTTTAGACATCTATGAAATGGCACTTCAGTAAAAGTAAATTTTATGCCATAGCCCAAGTGTACGCAGTGTATTTTCTGTGCTTAAAGCATTGCACTATTAGTTCAGCAACATCCTGCCATCACATCTAGCTGGTTATTCGCAAACTCTTTCCAGAAATGAATGACTTCTGGTTGCTTTGTCGCGTCAAGGCACTGTCAGGTGTAGGTCTGGCATCTGAATAAACTTTTCTACCACCATCAGTTTGAACTCCTGAACTACAGATTGCTGTATGACTTGTTTATTCTGCCTTATAGTGAATACTTATAGTGAATACTCACCTCCTGGATGTCATTTCACGTTTTTTAAGGAACAGTTTACTCAATCTGTAACCCTTGGCTTTGTGTTTTTAACTCAGAATTAAGCCTCCTAGACTCATCTTTACAGAGTTTGTGGCTTTTCAGTTTGTTGTGGGAAGGTTTCGTTTTTTCCCCCTGGCTGTGCTGCAGTGTGTTTCCTGAGAATTTAGTTCTGCACTTAAATGTTTGTGCTGGCTCTGTCGTTGTTTGAGTTGTTCAGTACGTCTTATTTTTGTTTCAGATTCTCCCTCATCTGTGGTAAACAAACAGCTTGGATCCATGACTCTGGATGAGGAGCAGGGTGCGTCCTTTCCTCTCTTTTTTTTCTTCTCCTTTTGCTCATTTTCGTTCAATCCTTTGCGTCTGAGCTCTGTACATTTCTGATTAAAGCGGCTCTTGTCCTCAGTCATCTTAAGAAGACTCTGCAGATGTGCCTCTGGGTAAACAGAGAAACTTCAGAAAGATACAGAGGCTTTCTGTCAATCATTTTCAGTCAATGGATATACTTTTTCTCCCCTCCTGTGGGGCCGAGTTCATATCAAGCTCATCTTTCAAATAATGTCCTGAACTAAGGGACATTTTTCCCCTTACTCTCAACTTAATGTGTTCACCCTCTATGAGACTGATGTGGGCTTGCAACATCAATATTTAGCTTAAAGGGGTCATATCACATTTTTTATTGACCTTTTAACATATGCATTTATTATGTTATGTGCTCACCAAGGCCAAAACAGTAAAATAAAAACAGTAATATTGTGAAATATTATTATAACTCAAAAGTAACTTTTCTGTTTTAATATACTCTAAAGTGTAATTTTATTTTTAATTTTTTTATTTGTAATTTTCATTTATGTTTGTGGTGACAGCTGAATTTTCAGCAGTCATTACTCCAGTCTCTTACTCCAGTGTCACATGATCCTTTAGAAATCATTCTAATACGCTGATTTGAAACACAGACTTTAAGTTTTTGCATTTGTTGTTTTTTTTTATTTTATTATAAATGAAATTGTTTATAACAAAATGTTTTATGGTCCTTGATTAACATTTATAAAAAGAGTATGATATGACTCCTTTTAAGTTTAAGTGGTTAAAATTACTTTGCTATTCTGCTTTGGAATATGGAATGTTTCCTGAAAACCAAAGAAACACCAATTTTGGAGATATTTCTTCTTTACGGCAGTCATCTTTTCTCCATGTCCATACTGGTGCCTGTACTTTTCCCCCTTCAGAACAAGAAACCTTAAGTCCTCTTATTACTTTCACTTGCATTGTGCTAATTCTCTTTGCTTTGGGCTAACTGCTTGCAATGGTTGAACTTTAACAAAACTATAATCACATTTTTTGTAGCCTGAAGTCTATCTGTGCAGCTCACTTTGCCACATATTCTTTTTTCTCCTTTTTTTGTCTACACTAGGCACTGTTTGCCACAATATAAATAACAGTGAAACTGCTTGATTCTCAGTAACACAGAAAAATGAATATGCTGTTATGCTCCTTTATTGTAAACATTAAATATATATATATATATATATATATATATATATATATATATATATATATATATTTCTCAGTGAAATCTGAGCATCTGAAGCTGCCACCTGTGCCATTCTGAAACAAAGTATTTCTCAATACTGCAATACTGGTGCATGATAATTACATTCTAATATTTCAGAAAAGCTGCTTCTATGATTAACTGCAGTTGTGACAAATATAATGTTCCTAAGGAAAACACTCTTACTAAAAGCTCAGTTTTACATCCCTTCCTTCCAGGAGGTGCAGAAGCAGCAGGACATGTAATCAGTGATCAGAGTACAGTAGTCAGTGAAGCTTCCCCAGACACTACAGAAACTGTGCCATCCACATCAGCGCCTTCACTTGGCACCAGCCCCGGCAACAGCCGCGGGAGCAGCAGCACTCCTTCAGGACCTGGGCGGACTGGCACAGCAGAACCCATCCTTAGTCTGCACTACAGCACTGAAGGCACCACCACTAGCACCATTAAACTGGACTTCACAGATGAGTGGTGAGTGACCAGAGAATCAGCCTTGACCTCGGCACACAAATTACTCCCACAAACCTCTAAAGCATTGGTCTCAAACTCAATTCCTGGAGGGCCTGAGCACTAGGCACTACAACTTGTGTGATCCGATTCACAAGCAAATGACCCTAAAGAACTGGTTCTTTTAATGAATCACTCATAAAGGCTCACAAATTCACAGTATATTATTTTGAATCCATTAATAAAAACTAAAATGAAATTATTTTTAGTTGTGTTTAACCCAAAATGAAGTTTTGTGTATGTAAGTTTCTGCATTTGAAGTATACATTTTTCATGTTTTCTCTGAGAAATAAACAGTGTTGCTGTTGACAAAAAAACTATAATTAAAAGCCATTTTCATTAATTGAAAGAAAGCTGAAATAAAACAAATATTAGTTGAAATAAATTTTAAATAAATTTTTGTATTTCCTTAAGAATTTATTTGACACAAATTACTCCCACAAACCTCTAAAGCGTTGGTCTCAAACTCAATTCCTGGAGGGCCTGAGCACTAGGCACTACAACTTGTGTGATCCGATTCACAAGCAAATGACCCTAAAGAACTGGTTCTTTTAATGAATCACTCATAAAGGCTCACAAATTCACAGTATATTATTTTGAATCCATTAATAAAAACTCAAATGAAATTATTTTTAGTTGTGTTTAACCCAAAATGAAGTTTTGTGTATGTAAGTTTCTGCATTTGAAGTATACATTTTTCATGTTTTCTCTGAGAAATAAACAGTGTTGCTGTTGACAAAAAAACTATAATTAAAAGCCATTTTCATTAATTGAAAGAAAGCTGAAATAAAACAAATATTAGTTGAAATAAATTTTAAATAAATTTTTGTATTTCCTTAAGAATTTATTTTTTATTTTTTTTATTTGGAATGTTGTCTTGGCAATTAAATAAAATAAGTTGAAGTATTACAATTTTTTAAACTGAAAAATAAACGGTAAATGGAAATATTGTTAATGTTAACTAAAAGGAAAAAAAGCTAAATTAATTTGCATTTATTGAAATAAAGCTGAAACAAAATAAAAATAAATACTAGATGAAAAAAATAAATGAAAATAATATATATTGCCTTTGCAACTAATACTTAAATCACCAAAATTAAAGTCAAAAGAAAGCTAAAAAAAAATATCAAAACATAAATGAATAAAAATTACAAAAGCACATTACAAAATGACTAAAACTGAAACTATAAACATTATAATATAGTAATAACATAATTATAATTATAATATTATAATTCAAAATATTAATAAATACTATAATAGTATATAAATAATACTTGGACATGTCAGACGTCAAGTTTGTGGATATAAAAACAAGACCCATTCCTGTGAATTGCAAACGATTGTCTGAAATTCTCTTTGGCTTCCTTCTTTATTTAATTGTGAGTATATTATTTTTAAGAATGCATTTTTTTGTAAGAACAAATCACTAACCCTTTTTTTTTTTGACTATGCACAGGAGCAGTCCAACGTCCAGTGCCAAAGGCAGCAGTGGAGGACATAAGCCTGGGGAGGTGGGTGAGAGCCAGACCAGAGAGGAGGAGCCCACAGGTCAAACCTCGGAGCAAAGTGAGTCGACAACCACATGCCCATTGCTACAGAATTTGCGTTGTGTAGCTTATTTTTGGAGGTTCTGAACTTTTCTCTCATAAACAGGTTCGAGCTCATCCTCAGAGAGTCAACCCACACCCAATGGGGGCAAAATTGCAGACAGAGGCACGGAAAAGGCCTCCATCAGCTCTCAAAACAGCACGCCACCGGCGGCACCACCAGAGGGGCTGTCAACCGAAGACACGGCTCGTCCCAGCGCTCCATCAGAGGAGCTCCAGGCTGCTGGTTCGGCGGAGCTGAGCGAGCAGTGCAGGAGGAGCGAGACTGCTGGAACGGGCGGCCAGGGTTCGACTCAACCATCCCGCAATCAGGACTCAGATGACAGTGACGACGACCCCATCCTTATCCCTTCAGCCAGGTACAGAGGAGGGCCGGGACAGAGGTATGGACTCTCGTTATGTCAAGATGTTTAATGATGCAAATCGTCACCAGTGTTGGGGAAAGTTACTTTTACAAGTAATGCATTACAATATTGCGTTACTCCATAAAAAAAGTAACTAATTACGTTACTTAGTTACTTTTTATGGAAAGTAATGCGCTATGTTACTTTTGCGTTACTTTTTAAATCTGGACAGGGCTTGCTTGTTTGTTTTTAAAATAAAAAAGTTCTATTTTTGGCAAATATAAAAGCCTTTTCACACCAAACGTGAAATGAATAAGCCTCAGGCTGAAGGAAATGTAAATTTACGTCCATACAGTAAAATGCAGAAGAAGACATTTCAACACACTTCAGCAATAAAAAAAGACACACAAATGTTTGTCTAGAGTAATTTTTGCTTATTAGTATGGTTGAACTGGATCATCAAAGGTCAGAAACAAAGACATTGGTTAATAGAATGGGATTAAATACATAAAGGATATTTGTGTTGTTTAACATTTAATTATTGCAGGTTTACGTCATATTCTGAGTTGCATTTTTTTTATTCATTTTGCGGAATACTGAATCTGTGTTTTTTTTTTTGTGAGTGAGATGAATTAATGCATATTCATAAATGCATTAAAAATGTAACTCATATTCTTTTGTAAATTAAAAAGTAATGCGTTACTTTACTAGTTACTTGAAAAAAGTAATCTGATTACGTAACTCGCGTTACTTGTAATGCGTTACCCCCAACACTGATCGTCACAATGTGTGGGCAAATGAAATGACAGGCGGGAAGTCCCATAAAACATGACAACATGAGTTTATGCTAAACAGTGTTTATCTTTTGGACAGTCATAAGTAAAATGCTACTCTTCTCATTAGATTTAATTACAGAGGATCAGCTGTAGGTGATAGGATGATAAGGTACTGTAATGTTTCTGAGGTAGCCACTTATATAATCTAATTGCAAGGGGTGCAGATTTGATTAACTTTTCATTAACCTGGTATTCATTTTGTGTGGCTGTGTAAAATACGCTATCAATTATATATTGTGTGTGATTTAGTAGTTCATGTTAACTTTATTTCTGCCTGAGAGTGTGCAAAATGTTTGCATAATGACCGTTTGGTTAGTTACTAACCAAGTAAACTAATTTCATGCATGAATTTGAGTTCAAAAATGTATTCAGATTTTCACAACAAAAAAAAAAGTTGAAAATAGTTGTGCTGCTTGGTATTTTTGTGGAACCCATGATGCATTTTTTCAGTGTTCTTTGAATAGAGTTTAAAATAACAGCATTTATTTGAAATAAAAATCTTTTATAACATTATAAATGTCTTTAATGTCTGTTTTGATCATTTTAATGCATCCTTACTGAACAAAAATTATTAATTTCTTTAAAGAAAATTCTTACAGATAATGTCAAAAAAACTGAGCTTCCATGGCTCTCTACAGACATCAGTGATTCATCAGATTCACTCTTAAAGAGACTGTTACCAAATACAGCTATAAGTCACAATGTAATTCCATGAATTATCAGCTATTAAATGAAATATCAAAAACACATCATTGTATGTGTTTTCCCCGGGCGCCGCAGCAAAAATGGCTGCCCACTGCTCCGGGTGTGTGTTCACGGTGTGTGTGTTCACTGCTGTGTGTGTGCACTTTGGATGGGTTAAATGCAGAGCACTAATTCCAAGTATGGGTCACCATACTTGGCCACACGTCACTTTCACTTTCTTGTATGAATTTAACATGCACATAAAAGTTAATGCTGTTACTGTTATGTCATGATAGGTGAAGCCCCATCTACATTGTCTGCAAAAAAATATATTCAGATCAAATATTATCTCGCACAATGCTGTAAGACTTTGTAAAACTATTTAAGCTTGTGAAAATGTGACCATCCTGGACTAATATTATGTTGAGCTGTAATGTGTTTTAAAGTTGTAGTGCATAAATGATTTTTCATGAGTATTGCTCTGCATGCTTTGTTTTTCACAGACGCTCCGCCGCGGCTCGGATCCAGGAGCTGTTCCGCAGGAGAAAAGAGCGGAGAGAGATGGAAGAGAGTGAGACTCAGAATATCAGTAGACCCTCTGTCAAGATGATGTACAAGGGCCACCGCAACTCCAGGACCATGGTACGCTGTTTGTTTATGGTCTCATGCATATTGTACACAAAAAGCAGCTTTCTGTCACTTCTTATTAGTTCTAGTATAACATATAAACAATCATGTAATAAAACATTACCAGATGTTTCACTTTAATGACCGGACTGTGCATGTAGATTAAAGAGTCGTGTTTCTGGGGGAATAACTTTGTGATGAGCGGCTCGGATTGTGGCCATATCTTCATCTGGGACAGACACACAGGAGAGCACCTGATGCTGCTGGAGGCCGACAACCATGTGGTCAACTGCCTACAGCCTCACCCTTATGACCCCAGTGAGCAAAAATATACCTGAAAACCGTAGATAGAGACCCATGAAAGATTTTGGATTAGATGATTTGGATCACTTCATTTGGTCTGATGTTGTGTTCTTTTTTTTTTAACAGTTCTTGCGTCATCTGGAATTGACTATGACATCAAGCTGTGGTCGCCTTTAGAACAGTCACCGTCATTTAACAGAGTCCTTGCTGAAGAGGTATGGACATTGTTTTCTGCTTAATTCTGTGAAGAATGTCCTGTTTTGATTCTTCAGACTTTAAAATTGGTATTTTTAATGCATATAGTAACACGTTGTTTTGAGATGTAATTAAATCCCCACTAGATGGCACTAGAGCTCCAAGTACTGTGGTTATCTAAGGAACTGTCTGCTTTTATAGAGGAAAATACATCAAATAGAGGCATTTTGAGGCAGCTGTATTGGTATATCTATGCCCTTGCGACAGGAGTAAAGTGTTGGCAAACTTGTGAATTTAATTTCCTGAGTTGTTTGTGTGCTGTAGGTGATTGCTCGTAATGAGTTAATGCTGGAAGAGACGAGGAACACCATCACCGTCCCTGCTTCCTTCATGCTCCGAATGCTGGCATCATTAAATCACATCAGAACAGGTGAACTTCCTCATGTCCCTTTTTAACTCACTGACTGTATACATACAGTGAGATCCAAAAGAGTCCAAATTGAAAAGGAATTTTCTAATTATCTTTTGTTATTTTAAGATAAATAATATTTATCAATGATATTTACACTTTTTTAACTGACCAGCATTTGTCGCTGGATACTTACTCTAGCATTTGGTTTTACTACCGTGAACAGGTGTCTAAATGATCCCTTCTTTTATCCTCAGACCGTGTGGAGGGTGATCGTTCGGAAGGCTCTGGACAAGAGAACGAGGATGAACAACAGTAGCCCTTCTGCTACAAATGAATGTTTTTTTTGCTACAGTGCACTTGAGCATTTGAGATTTGTACAAGTTACAAAATAGAGTATTTCCTTGTTAGTTCAGTTTTTGGCATTATTTTTGTAATGAGACTTTTCGTACTAATTACTCTATATGGGAGTAAACTGCATCTGGGGAGTTCATGCAAACAAGATGATACGTAAGGAATTGAAAGATGTGACTAAACGGCTGGCGCTTGAGAGTATTTAAGTGCAATATTAATTTGTTAAATAACTCACTGACTGTATACATACAGTGAGATCCAAAAGAGTCCAAATTGAAAAGAAATTTTCTAATTATCTTTTGTTATTTTAAGATAAATAATATTTATCAATGATATTTACACTTTTTTAACTGACCAGCATTTGTCGCTGGATACTTACTCTAGCATTTGGTTTTACTACCGTGAACAGGTGTCTAAATGATCCCTTCTTTTATCCTCAGACCGTGTGGAGGGTGATCGTTCGGAAGGCTCTGGACAAGAGAACGAGGATGAACAACAGTAGCCCTTCTGCTACAAATGAATGTTTTTTTTGCTACAGTGCACTTGAGCATTTGAGATTTGTACAAGTTACAAAATAGAGTATTTCCTTGTTAGTTCAGTTTTTGGCATTATTTTTGTAATGAGACTTTTCGTACTAATTACTCTATATGGGAGTAAACTGCATCTGGGGAGTTCATGCAAACAAGATGATACGTAAGGAATTGAAAGATGTGACTAAACGGCTGGCGCTTGAGAGTATTTAAGTGCAATATTAATTTGTTAAACGGTTGAGCTTGGAACGGTGTTAAGTGTGAAATTTTATTGTAGCCTCAAATGAAGAACTCTGATGTTTGTATACCAGGAATTATGCATGTCAAACATGAGTTTGCAGAAAACATGTTCTCTTAGTCTTTACCAGTGTTGGCTCTTTTTTTGTCATTACTAAATCTTGCATTGTACAGGGATCTTCTGCCTAACCCCAATTACAGGTACTACTTGCAATATTTCATTATCCAAACCAGCCATTATACATTGTTACACTGCAGAATGTTTGTAAAAGTTAATTAAAATGAGAACCGTTTTTGACTCCGTCTATACATAAAACCCACTGCTGTCTAGCCAAATGGCTCTAGCATTAGTTGGCAGGTCGTGTTTCTCTCTCCTATCAGCACAGATGGCCTTTGTTGTGGCAGCTGTTGGCTTGAGCGTTCTGCTAAGTGACTAGTGATCGCTGGGAAAAGCTATCACTGATGAAATATCTCCTCATCTAATAGCGTGCCATTCTATGCCAACCTCATTCAGCACTTTTAAGGAATGCAAGCCATCTTTTTAAGTGTTTTTCCACAGATTTTCAGATTAAGTTCCGGTTCCTTTTCAATCCATGTACCAGAGACATTAAATATGTTTGTGATTCAATCAAAACATGACTGAAAGCTTGTTGGATACCCATAAAGAATTTAATAACACAGTACAAATAAAAAAAGCATTATGTGCTGTGGTTTGCAAACAAATAGTGCAGCCAGAAGGAGCGCTGCAAATGACAAAGAGGCCTATTAATATTCGTATATAACTGACTTGGCATGATGCAAAAAAGAAAAAGAAAAGAAGATTCCACAGGAATGATTAATCCTTACTGAGTAAATTTTCAAACTATACTAAAACTAGTAGGAACAAAAACATGTGAGAAGTCTCCGATCAAACGTAACAAAATCTTCAAGTGCAATTGTACCAGTGACTTCAGTAATGACACTGCAGATGCTTTCTCGCACCATTACATTAATTCAAAACATTTTAATCAGATTTTCCACCAAATACTATGGATAAAACTGCATTTTAAGAGGTATTCTACCTCTTTATCATGCCCAGTATCTCTCTCATTTACATGTTAATTCAATGCCTGAAAAAAATATTTTGTAAGGCGTAAGGGTATTTTTTTGGCCACATCAAAATAACCCCAAAGACATTTGGTATATTTTCTATAAACCTGGTGGTACTTATAATAATAGAATATATTAATAGACCTGAACTTAAAACAGTGAGCTGTAGGATAATCATTCTTACAAACAGTCAGGGCATGAGTGGTTACAGTTTCCTTATAAGAAAAGAGTAAACATAATACACATAGTACCCAACACAGGCAAAACACCTGACAGTATATGAGGGCTGTACGTGATTTTACAATAACTTTTATGTTACAAAAACATAACTTATTCTGGTGAGTGACAGATCTAGTATGTAAACTACACATAAATCACTGTATATCTGTAAACATTTATCTTAAGTGTTCCTTGTACCTTTAAAAGCTACAGATTACACAATCTGGTCCATTTACCGAGTCAAAGAACTACACGGAAGTGTCCCCTATTTTTTCCTCTTGCTCTTCATCGTCATCATCATCTTTAACTATTCCTTCATCGATGCTTTCCATCCTGAGTCTCTGTCCATCCAGGTAACGGGGAGCTCTCTGTGTGTTTCGTACTGTGAACAGACTTGTTGGAATTTGAGTCCATTCCCCAAAGAGTTGAAGCTTGGCATCGTTCTCTATAGCCTTAGCCAAAGAAGTCGCAAAGCTGTCCAAAGACTTATGGATGTCTGCCGTCACTTGGACTACCAAGGGGTCACCTTGAGAAAAATAAATTTTAAGATGCTTCTTTGTCAAAGCTCTATAACATGCTGATGATTAACAAAAAATTACTCCATTTGCAAAACTGCCATTTATAAGCGTCTCTGCAAAGAAGGTTTGTGAGGCAAGATGGAAAAGCAGAATTATAAAGATTCTTCTGTACAAAACTTTAAAGTGGGACTACTGTTCTAGACATAAACTAGTATGAACAAATGTTATTTTGTAAGTCTACATTTCCTTAAATGTATCATGTAAAAATGACCAATTTTAATGGCTTAACATGGCCATGACAGACAAAGTAAGTGCTCTTTCACATTAATCTCAAGTTAACACTCATAGGCCTGGTTTCATAGAGAGGTTTTAGGTTAAGCCAGGATTAGGCAATAGGTCAATTAGGACATTTAAGTAGTTTTTATAAACGTACCTTAGAAAAAACATTACTGGTGTGCATCTTGAGACAAAACAAAGGCACTTGCATATTTTAAGAACAGTCAGTGCAAGTTTCTTTCAGTTGAAACAGCTCAGATTTACATTTTAGTCAGGGATTAGGCTTAAGCCTTGTCTGTGAAACCGGGGGATAGACTTTAACTTTTGCCTATAACTTTTATTTATTTTTTTTTACTTTTGAATAGTATCGTTTATGTAAGATTTCTTTTCATTAAAGAAATAAATACTTATATTCCGCAAGGATGCAGTAAATTGATCAAAAGTGACTAATGACTTTTACATTGATTTGAAATAAAATACTTTTTGTAACATTTTTGTTCTTTTTAACTTTCTTTTTATCAAAGATCCCTAAAAAATTTATGTTTTTCACTTTTTTAATTATTAAGCAGAACAACCATTTTCAACAATTACAATAATTAGAAATGTTTCTTGAGCACCAAATCAGCATATTAGAATGATTTCTGAAGGATCATGTGACACTGAATAATGTCACATGAGTAATGGCTGCTGAAAATTCAGCTTTGCCATCACAGGGTTGAATTATATTTTAACATATCTTAAAACAGTTATTTTAAATTGTAATAATCATACAAATGTTACTGTTTTTACTGTATTTTTGATCAAATAAATTCAGGCTTCTTGAGCATAGAAAAAAAACCTATAAAAATAAATAAATAAAAACACTTTTTCTTACCGACACCTAACATTTGATTAGTAGTGCACTTATTATATTAAACCTAAAAGAACTGGTGCCAAATAAAATTTTGTAGAGCCACTTTCTATTTGCTTGGTTTTGTACTGCAACTAACAAAGACATTTTAGCATTAGATGTCAAATAAGAACATGTTAGATACCTTTAGGCATCTGATCCACTTGGTCCTCGAATGTGACAGAACTTCTCCTCTTATTGGCAGCACAGTGGGCTGAGTGGGAGGGCTCTGAGGTGTAGCCATCCAACAGCATGACGTCTGTAGCTAGAGGGTAAATCACAGCAGGCATCTTTCAATCAAATATCAGTTTTAACACTGCTCAACAGCACCCACCCACACCAGTCTGGACACTGTGGGAGAGCCGCTGAGCAGTGCCGTCTGTCTGTTATGCGATACTTTTGGGCTCTGTGTTTCCTCAAATGGCACACCCTGATAACAACAGTCTTCAAGCCAATAAACCACCTCTGCTGACTGCTAAGAGCTGTGGGGGTTGATTCTGTTTGATTTCCTTGTATTCAAAGCGGTAAGGATGCAGCAATATTAAAACCATGGTCTATACTGATAAACAATTATTAAAATTCAATTTAGTTTTGTCAATGTAAATTACTAAAATCAGTCAAACACAAGTGAATTTAGTCATCACAACATTATAATGTATAGTATATATCGAGGTTTGCTAATTACATTTAACTGTTACTAAATTATTAGTGTTTTTAGAGAGCAACTTTAAGTAAGCATTAGAGGATGGTAAATTCAAATGTAAAATACGCAATAACAGCTGATAATGATAAATATATCACCAATACCATCCAAGATGGTACTAGTATATTGTGCATTCCTGCAAAAAAAGTTATCATTATAATTAATTATTATTTTAAAGGCTTTTTAAAAGTTAATTCAAAAATTAAATATTGCCTCCAATTTACTCAGCCTCACCGAAATACATTTTCAAGAAAAAGGAGATTTTTATTTAGATAAAAAGTTTGTGCAGTTCTCTTCCATAAAACAAAACTTGGAGGCAATGGATGATAGGGAGATTCAAAAAAAAAAATAATAATAAAACCTGTATCACAAAAGTATGTTTTTACGTTCATTCATTATACGAGTCTTCTAAAGCCATTTGATTTTGTGTGAAGAACAGACTTGAAGTTATTTAGGTTGTTATTGAACTACAACGAAAGAGAAGATTTTCAGTGAATAGCGACATGAATTTTGGCCAGCCTGTTCCTCATACAAAATTGATCTAGTATGGCTTCAGAAGACTTGAAATACAGCCCACAAGTGGCATGGACTATTTTTGTGGTATTTACATAGTGCTTTTTTAAAACTGACAGGAATTGTCACTACAAGACATTATGCTAAAATACCTCCTTTTTTTTGTTCCACAGAAGAAACTAGGAAGTCATAATTAAGTTTGGGACAATGTGATGGTAAGTAAATGATGACAGCCTTCACTGTT